TCAAGCTGCCTAATTGCTTCGGTCTGTCGATAGCGAGTTCGGTGCAAAGGTCGCCCAGCTAAGTCAAGAGCAATCATCTGAATAGCATGGTTAACGCCAGCATCGTCTGATTCGAGTCCGTGGTGATAGTGGAAGACAGCAAAACAGTTGACGTGGAATCCTTTTCGACACTGTGTACAGCCCGTTCCAGTCTTGATAATTCGACCGCTTCTCATGGAGCACAGCTGACATGCAAGTCGAGCCTTACCTATGTTCTCTGTTAGAACATGGGCATCCATGTTGCTTCCTATTGTAGCCGCAGGACTTTCCGCTGTTCGTTTCTTTGGTGCTTTACGCGGCTCTGCCCGTTTCAGTCGCGCTGGCTCAGTCAATGCGTCTACGATCTTCAGCTTGAATTCACGGATGGTGATTTTTGCGTGTTGGTTAGTATCGATGCACTTTAGCAACGAATACGCATTATTAACGCACATATCCAGTGCCCATGTCAACACGGTCATGGACAGCCGCGCCTCCTTCCGCTGAGTGGGGTTGGTACTTCGAAGTTGATCAACACGATCAACCGCGTTCATGAACTTGTTGTACGCAGCAATAATCGTTGGTACTTGGAGTTTTGTTCTGTGCATTGACTCATCTCCCAACCACCTCGAAATCGGATGTAATCCGTGAACACAATGCAGAGCTTCTTCAGAATTGGCTGGTAGATTGATTTGGCTCATGGTTCTTGCCAAGTCATTCGTATAGAAAATGACCGTTTTCGAGTCATTGAAAATAATATAACCAGCATTTGGTGAAATTGTCACGGGACACGTGAATTTGACGCGATTAGCTTTTTGCTTTTTTTGCTGAGACTTCTTGTGAGCGGCCTCAAGTTTTTCCCATCCGTCAACAGGATCGACGGCTGCTACAAGCTCCCATGCACCTCGATCCAACTTATTGACTCTGGCCTTGGCTTTTTCAACGGCAACACGATTCCACCGATCCAAAAAGTTCGTTCTTACAGTTCCCAAAATTCTGATATCACCATCTGAGAAGGTCAGAATTGACTTCGCCAGAGTATGTCGGGTATAAAAGTTATCGCACACCACCAAACGGTTTTGACCATCAGGAGACGGGAGCATTTTAGTTTGATGACCAACCATTGTCAACCATACTGACGAAGGGGCCTTGATATCAAACGCCAGGTTTGACACACGCTGCAACCGCAGCAAACTTTCTCGCAACACGGGGAAAACTTGAACATATCTCTCTGCTGGCGCCAAAGGGGAGACCAATCCTGAGCTATTATCCCAAAGAGAATGTATATAGAGAGATGACCATCCCACAGCAGCATAAAAGCGAAGAGCATACTTGTCGGGTTTGAGGGGCATAAAGCTTGAAGCTTTTGTGCGGGCTCGTGTTCTTACGGAGCACTCATCAAGCGACGAAACCCCCAATGGCACAGCAATATCTTGAAATTTGTTCTGTATGTGTGTTAGCAGGTCACGGCAGTGCCAAAGCGGGTCGTTGCTTTTTTCTTGTGGCGATGGCTCCAAGCAAGGCGAAATTCGGACGTGGCTCCGGATGGCTTGAAATCGGTTTCTGGACATTGTTTGCGGAAATGCTGGCTGGCC